TTCTCTCGTGCATTCGAACGTTTACGAGAGCTGAAAGGCATCGGTTAAGGCACAATCGTCCGTCCGGCTACGAAAGGATGTATCGAGCCTATCTTCGGGCCACTCTATCAACGAACACCTGGCGAAGCCGTGAAGCCAAAGGGACCCGTGTACGTCTGTCGGCTAATATCGAGGGCTTGAGCAATTTTACGTCGATCCGATCGCCGATCGTAAAGTCATTCGTGCAACACAAGGGCTGGCGACGTCCGCTTCTTCCTACGTGCTTTCCCTACTTGCCTGCCGCTGTCTATCATCCATTACTTCACTCGTCCACCTTGTCGTTTCTCATACCAGATGTCTCACCCTTTCATCCGCGCTATTATTTTCGCATTATTTCACTCGATTCCTTCAACTTTTTTACCAACGTCTTCCCAACGTTCGTGTCTCGTTTCTGTCTCGGGACGGGATCGACGTTCCATCCTTCCATTCTCCTCTGGTCCTCGCGAGTCGACCCCGTGTGAGTCGTATCTAACAAACGTAAGATCCATCCTCTGTCGAGGACGACATTGTGAGTCGCTGTGCTGCTAGGGAGCTGCTGGTAATCCTCCGAGCTACGATTCAACGCACCAACCAGAGTCCAGTTCCTGTCGAAAGCTGCCCGCGAGCTGACCTCCGCGTGCGGGGGGTCACGTCTTTCTAGTGAGATCGAGGGGCGGCCCTGTGTCCTGCAGCAGCTCGTTGTCCTCGCTGTCCGTCGACCTTTCCTCTTCCGTGCTTCCTCCGCCGGTCGCGTCCGTCCCCTCTTGCCCGTCCACCTTCGTGCCGGCCTTCATGCTCAAGTCGATCGGCTCCTCCTGCTCCGGGCCCAGAGAACGCAGAAACGCCAGGCTCTTGTCGTACGCCTCGATCTGATTCTTCTGGCAACTTCCGTCCGCTCCTCTGCACTCGTCCCGGTTCCCGCTCCCGTTGTCGTCATCCCGTTTCGGCGACGGCGTCGACCTGGGGCTCACGCTGTCGCTCGACGAGCTCGTCAGACTGGCGATCATCGGCGGCGTACCAACTTGGTTCACGTAGGGGAGGATGAACCGTTGTTGAAACGGGAAGAACGGCGTGTTGATGATCTGCATGTGCGACAGAGCCGGGTGGAAGAACGGCGGCCCCCTCCACATAGGGAACCTGGACACTTCCGGCCTGAGCAGCTCGTGAGGCGCCCTCACCAGATCCATCGGCCTGAGGAGAGGATCCTGGCTGACTCTCGCTGCCGGGATGTCGGGCGCCCTCAATTGAGCGGGAATGTCCTGCGGCCTCAGGTCGTCTCTTTTCGGGAACCTGTTGTCCTGATGATGGTGCTGATGGTGGTGGTGGTGGTGGTGGTG